CTGGAAACGACCCCAACTTTTGATTTTTAAATGGGACAATACAGGGTATTGTATCCCATAATCGGTTAGAGATTGTCATAACGAATTCATCGATACTGGGTTTGATGGGGTTATTTTAACCAATTACGTAGATATTCGCGTTCCAAGTTTTCATTTGCTCAATGAGTGTGACAGAGAAAGAAGTTTTGATATTACCAAGACACACCCATTGAGCATATGGAAACTTCGAACGCAAATATCTTTGTAATCGTTTGAAATAACCCTATCAAACCCGGTATTGTTGAATTCGTCATGATAATCCCTAACCGATTATGGTTCTATCCATGCCAACAGTCAAAGAAATGCCTTCCCAAATCATAGCCTGCTACTTATGTGCTTATAATCCTAATTGAATTCAATAAAATTATGTTATGCTATGAAATTGTGTTTCTGGAGTGATAGGAAAGATAATGGAACAAATCCAAAAAAGGAATGATGATAAAAATGAGGCGGAAGTGTAATTTCATTTGATAATGTTAGTGGTACACTCTACAGGGTATTACAAATTTCATGAAAAAAATTGCTACACCCGGTATTCATAAAAAAGAAGTTTTTATGTGAATACAGTTTGCACGCCAATATTCAAAAGGAGGTAACCTGCCATTCAAAACAAAAAACGTCCGAATCCCACAAGTAGTTTCGACGAAAATGTATTTAAAACTTTTGGATACTTCTTGGTGGAGCGTTAATTTGTTAATTTTTTGGGGAAATGTACATAGGTTCTCACAAGATTACAAAACAGAGATCAAAGACATGCAATTCTGACGTTGATACATACTGTGCAAAAGTATTGTTTTCTATAAATAAATCAAACCTAATAAATTGAATAAATATGCCTACAGGGATACACCATAGTTTTGCTTTCCGTCAAAAATATTTCTGCACTCCTTCAATGAAGGCATACAGAAAAGCTCATTCAATCTCTTACAGATATGATTTGTGTTTAATATTATTCTTCAGATGTTTCGAGGAATGACAAGTGTGTCATCACTCTATAAAAAGCATTAAACATCAGATCCTCTAGACACTGTAACCAAACCCACCCGGGTCTTGTCTAAATATATGGAATTATCTTACCATATTTCATGTGATCGTCTAGTATTTATCATGTTCGAGAAGTATCGAGATTCAACTCGACACCTCTCAAACGCATGTTCCCACGTTGTGTATTTTTTTTTTGTATATATGAGTTCGTGGATACAGAGTTCTGTGAAGGTAGAAAAGAAATGAAAATCGAGTATGAATCAAGAGTATTTATTGGCCACGCTTCTTTCACAATGCAAATTGTACGATGTGAAGTTGAGTGAATTAGCAAAAAGCAATCAAACCCTCTTCACTGCACCAACCAAGACTCAGTATCAAAAGTTTATGTTGGTATTATCTGATCAATTGCTGGGACGGCATATGTTTGCACTCCACTCTAATTGCTCTGGGCTGGGCCATCTTTTAGCAAAAGGATCGTCACCCGTCGGGAATAAAATAAGAGTGGTTGCAAGCCACCTCCGTGGTGTACACCTCCACAGGGACGTCCATTTCAGTATGCCTACTGTTAATTATTTTAAGAGCAACAGGGGACGCGCTCCCATAGTACCATCGAGCAATTCGACCACTCATCGTCATCTATAAGCACTTCAGATTATTTTCAACTGGTCAAAGGTGAGCAACAGCTCTAGTAGCAGTGAAGTACAAACGATATAATGTGATGAATTTACTCTATTTGGAATGGACTATCTTGCAAATACTGAGATACTACTATACTGGGACCTGGTTCTTCAACTCCTTCCTTCGGGCTGACGGAGGTAGAGGCCTGGTATACTTCCATGCTTTTCTTTTCCTATGAGTCTATTACTCCTGGAGATGTTGCTTCTTCGAAGGCTGGAAATGTTCTGTTGAGATCGCGGCTCAGGCTGCTATTTATAGGGAAACCGTTTGTTGTGATTGTCACTAGGACCACTTCCATGGTTACTGATGTTCTTTTATTGAAACAAACCTGGATTTGGCCCCTTTTTGGCCCCATTTCAGGGTGCTCCCTTGCAGTATGAGGCTTCTAGCTGTGAACATACGATGTTCAACGATCAGGTAGCTGTTTTCACATACTTATAAGTCTGTCCCTGTGGTTTTACTTCAGATTTGAAGTGAATTTATGAACGTCTGACAGCGTCAAACGTTCGTGAATTGGTAGAGTTTTTTCCACAAAACAGACTCTTCCTGCCTTTGTAGCTGGAATAAATCGATACAAATCGATGCCCAGATTACTTACCAGGCTTTCTGATGTTGTAACAAAGCACAACACTGCAGAATCCAGTATCCAACAAGGTCTTACCACACCTGGGATACAATCCAAAGTTGGAGTGATAGAATTTATGATCTCGTGATGATTTGTTACTCATTCCTCTGATTAGAAATGCAACTACTCATAGAAATTGAACCCTCATTAATGGAGTCATGAACTGAATCACTAACTATGATCCTCAAATAAGAAAATGACTTCCAAAATGAATCAATACTCTTGATCATGATGAATTATTCTACCAAGCGAACTGGCTTGGGTAGTTACAACACTCTAGTTGAAACATGTATGGAGTAAAGAAGCAAACACTTTTATATGTTTTTAAAGAAGAAAACATTAGGAAGCCCTAAAAATGCAGTACATTTGAGTAATGGCCTCAAGTTTTATTACACAAAACTCATAGATAAAATACTAAAGATGCTCATGGTGTCTTCCTTCCTCAGAAGTACATAACATACATAGTGGGTTGTCCACCTGAACATGTAAGTATGTATTCAAAGAACATAAAATAGCAACAGTCCATGAGCTGATGACACACATTCATTGAAACATTTCCAATCAACAGGAATGGACACCATACCTATAAGACTAAGAAAAAAGTGGACTTATCAGGTGCTCAAGTGTTTTGAAATATTTGCAAGGAAAACACTACCAAAAACTATTGGTGTCCAATTGTATAACTCTTTACCACAGAATGAGAAAAGTCTACTACTTATGTTTATGGTATGTTGTAATGTACACACATTATTTCACTCTTATTGATATTTATTCATTTTGTGAATATTGTATACTACTTTCTGAATTTACTTGCTACCTGACATGCAACAAATGTTTAATAACATCACATAGTTGAATAAAGATCTATCTATCTACACCTGTTTGCAATTTGAAAGTACAAAATAATCTCAATGTACCAGGGTGTCCAAGTACCTATCTGTTTTAATGATATTTTAGCCATTTTACAAAATGAAAATTTGAATAAAAAAATTTAAAATCACAAGGAATATTTATTTGAAAATAATAACAATAATTGGAAGTCAATGCCAGTTCAACCAGAAAGGACTTTAATATTTTCTTATTTCAAATGGCACCCTGTTTATTTTTTCAGTTTTTGGAATTTACTCAAAATTATCTTTCACTTCCCTTGTTCCCTTCCCATTATATATCACTCAAATAGTAACTCATTATCAGTAAAGGCGAATTTTAGACTATTGAAATCAAAATCATTGTTACACAAAATGACCTTGAATGTAAAATACAAAATTGTCAAAACTGTGTATGTTATTTTTTCCATTACTATTACCAGTCTATCACTAGTCAATAATGAAATTTATTAACACTTATATACAGTGTAGAAACTTGTGATAGAATAAAATGAGTATATCCATAATGGAAATATACTATAAAAAGTACTTGGACAGGTCAATTTTTATTGTTGAAAAATCATTTAGATACATTTGAAATCAGTTTCTTATAATGAATGTCTGTCTATGGATACATATGGAACAATGGAGTGCTAGAGGGAATCAGGAGTATTAAACCCTTGTCATAATTCCCAGAGTAGTTCCCTGAGGAAATGATATACATATGGCATGTGACTGCAAAAACCACAGGTACAATATTGAAGTGATATTAGTTGTTGATAAAATATAGTATACTACTTGCAATAATGGAATGTTACTCTGTGGCTCCTAAAGGAGTTGTGAATGTTTTTGGGAAATAACAGTTTTCTTTATTGACTGATGGAATGATCTACTATTACACTCCTACTAAATAATATTAAAAACCATAATTGACATTATTCTATCCTCTTTAAAATGTTCTGAATTTGATTCTTATGTTAAATATCACTCATATGACAGCATTCAATGGCAAGATTAACTCTTCTTGAAAAGGGAAAGATTTTGATTCAAAAAACTTTAAAATTGGGGGAATATGCATGTGCTACTAGTGAAATAAGTAGTATATAAACCACAGTCTAGGCTCTGGAATTCATTGCCTGAGGAAGTATTCCCAACAACATTTATAATCTCCAGAAGTTCAAAAAAAATCCCAATACCCTGCCTCTGTAGTTATACAAGGTATATAATACTATTTTCTATCAACACATCAAAATGCTCATTGTTTCCAGTTTGGACACATCATACTGCCAGGCAAAATTCAAAATGGATTAAACTTGAAAGCATAAACATTTTTCCATCTTCATCTTCTTGTATTCAGTATCAATGAAAGTATGAATGTTGTCATTTATGATACACCAACCAGGTTATTTGGTGAATGTGCAGATATATTATTTTATTCCAAAGTGACTCTATTAGACTAGTCACAGAACTGGTGGTATTTATTATGAGTAGGATATAAACAAATTCATCTGTTCAGCTTGCTTCAACCTGCATTTGAATTTAATATTATGTAGTGGAGAAGCAATATCACCAGGATTTGAGCCTTTGAAATATAATTCAGGGAAATAAGTGAAGAGATTGTGTGGAAAATTTTGAAACACTTAATAATTTTATCTTTTTAGCTTTTGTATTTCATTTCTCACTTTCACAGTTACTTTGAGGCATGATGAATCTGGAAATATTGGATCTGTAACTCTAGCCATAGACAGTGGACAAAAGAACCCATAGACTAGACAGCAGGCAAAAAACCTATAAAGAGAAAAACTTACAATAGATATTCATATCTTTCTAAGCACTGAGCAGCAGTTCTTCCAATAATGGGTGCAATAGTTCTCCATTGAGTAGGCATAAGCTTGGCCAAGTGCAAGAGTTTTTCATCTTCCTCCCGAGACCATTCAGTTTTCTTGATACTAGGATCAAGCCATTCAAACCAGCGAGCTTTACATTGTTTAGCAGATTTTCTATGCAGCAAAGATGCTATCCTAGACCATTGGTTTTTACCATATTTCATTACTGCTGCCTTCAGAATTTCATCCTACAGAATAATAAACATCAACAATAATATACTTTTGGGAGAAGGAACATCCAGAGGACCACTTTCAAGTTAGAAAATCTGTGACATACCTCTGTGTTTCTCCAAACACCACCTTTAATCATTATTCGAGGCATCCTGGCTGTTTTGAGGAAAATTACTATAGGAATAAAATCTCAAATATCCCTCAACTCTCACGGGCTAGGAAACAAAACCTCAAAGCTCTAAACCATAACTATAGACAAACTAAAGAGTAGTGTATCTAGTATGACCATAACATTGGGAAAAAATTCACAATTTGTTGGATGATGATTTGATGAAACTTAACGTTCTTCCTCTCCCAACACTCCCAACAACAGTTTGACTAAAGTAGTAACACTAGTAACAATCCTAACCTAACTTAATGTGAACTTAAGTCTAGGGATGGCGCTCTTGAATCGACTTTTCCAAAGATCGATCTTTTCGGCAAAAAAAACCGATTTTTAGATCGATCTTCTGTTCGATCTTTGACGAGAGCCTAAAGGTTTCGAACCATTCCCAAACCTCATTGTTAGATTGGTCACAGTGAATCACGTGATACATTATGGACGCTTGTGCATTCGCCACTGAACTATACCCTACAAATATAGTTCAGTGGCATTCGCTCGTAGAAAGACTTGAAATTTCTAATGAGACCCTCAGGGTCTCCAGAGGAGGAAAACCAATCTTGAGAGCCTAAATCACTATACAAATAGTCACAGTAGGCTGTCGCCATGCTATTAGTGGACCTGAATGAAACTCCCTGACCAAACTCAACCTCCACAATTTTATTGTGAAAAATAATAAAAAACACGAATCTCAACATATCACGTGATGGGAATGGGTCGAAAGATTTAGGCACCTCTGAGATTTTCTTTGGTTTATTTCGGTGATATTGATATTTCGATATATAACTAGACAGAGTGGAAACGTACTAGATCTAGTACGGAAGTACTAGGTCTGGCAACGCTGAGACATCGATAAATATCGATATATCGATAAGTATCGATATATCGATAAGTATCGATATATCGATAAATACGATAAATATCGATAAATCGATATATCGATTTATCGATATATCAAAATATTGGTATATTGATAACCATCGATATATAAGGATTATAAAGTTATCGATATATCGATAACTATCAATTTCGTCTCAACATATCGGTGAAAATTAACTCATGCCAATTGTGTGAATCTTAGAAGCTTTCGTGCTATCCAGACAAAAGTTATAATGCCGTACAGCAACACAATTTCGTGAACAATAAAACGATAGAACTATCTTGAATATTCAGAACATCGTGATTATGTTAAGAAAAAAATTGATAGATATCAATATATCGATAACTTTATAATCCGTATATATCGATGATTATCAATATACCAATATTTCGATATATCGATAGTTATCGATATATCGATATTTTGTTATCGATTTTTTCTATATATCGATAGTTATCGATTTTTCCTTATTTATCGATATACCGATACATCGATAGTTACCGATATATCGATTTTTTTTGAAATTATATATTGTTATTCGATATATCGATGAATTTATCGATATATCGATTTTTTTCCAGGCCTAGTAGATACTACAGCTCCCTAGATTTTTTTCTCCATATTTAGCACACAATGGTGTGTAGTTCTGAAGTTTTGAGCTCTGAACATAGTTGCCAAATCCCAAAACAATCAAACAAATCTAAATAAAAGCGAAGTGAGTAACAGTAGCTACTAGAATTTACTGAATTGCATCATCTCCGATATGATACCGGATACCGCATACAAAAAAAATTGGTCCACCTGGTTTTCTGTGATAGAGATCTTCACCGCGGTCCGAAGTGGGTCCGAATCACACTCAAATCGCTTCGAGCCGTTACTACCGATACAACAAGGCCAGCAGACTCTGACGTAAACAGCTCGTGACGACACCAAGAGAGGCCAGTGTTTTATTTTATCGCTTGTCGACTAACGCGTCAGTTCGTGTTAATTCATCGGTGATTCACGTATGTTTTTGAAACGGTCCCGAATTCTTTTATTGTTTATTCATCAAAATAATTGGCGGAAAAATTACTGTTTTGTGAAATATTTTGTGTTGTGATCGGCGAAATAACGATGCCTTTCAAGTGTTGTGTTCCCTTTTGTCGGGGAAATTATGTGGGTGGTTCAAAAGTTCATGCTTTCAGTTTCCCGTTGGACGAGGAGCTATCGAAAATGTGGGTATATGCAATTCACCGCGAGGATTTTACTCCATCTAAGTTCAGTAGTAAACAGAGCTTAATTTTTCAATGATGAATTAATAATAGAAGACAATTACTCTCTCATAAAAAGTATAAGTAGAGGAAAAATAGAAAAGCTTTGATTATGCAGTTAGTTTTGTATTCGTATATTATAGTCAACGAAATCATCTCTGAATTCGAGGAAATTTTCTTGAATGTTCATAATGATTAATGAACGGGCATTTTTAATTCTCATTCTCAGATTTCTTTCTGAAAACGGTCATTTGCCCCGTGGCAATGAATGCAGAATTCATTCCAATGATTAAATTGCAACTATCATATTAACATGAACTACAAACACTCTACTTAAAAAGGTAAAACTGCATTTATCATGATATTCATCATGAAGATATTTGACTAAAAAGTTCCAAATTTCACCTTCTTTTTCACCTGTCTTCTGGATGGCATTTAGAACAAATTTCCCTTCTTTTGTCATCATATTGGACAATTTATATATAATTCAACTATAAATATGATTTTCTTGAGATTAATCCATATTTAGTGAAAAGAAGGAAGAATATCATTCAAGATAATGGCGTGTGTAATGTCATTCGAAAGAAATCTATTGACATCTCGTATTTTGATTGACTGTTGATTAAATGGTCGTCATCTGGAATGCTTGTTCACTTAATATGAAAAACTCGCCATAAAAATCATATTTCCTGTTGAATTTTCTATATAAAAATGTGCCATCGAAGTACATCATGATTATATAAAGTGTCCAATGACAAAATAAGAGCAAGTATAGCTTCAAATGCCCCCAACACAAGGGGAGAAAGAAGGCGAAATTTCGAACTTTTTCTTGAAATATCTCAATAAATAGTGGTTTATTCACATTTTCATTATAAAATTCGGTTTATCAGACAAAAATACGTGAGTACCGAAAAAAATTTTCAAAAAAAAACCATCGCATGATAAATGCAGTTCTACCCTTAAAAATTACGGTTTCAAGTGTAACGATCCACTTGGGTGAAAAATCCAACAACAGAAAATTGAAAACAGTCACTGGTTATTTTTTCAGGTAATAGGAATTCTCCAAGATAAATATAGGTAATTGTAACAAACGGCATGTCAATCAAAATAAAATACATTTTCCACAATTTTCTCTCGATCAATCTCAAGATAAGTTTATGTTCTGCGGGCCCTGTATAAGTAGGTGTGAAGTTTACCTTCACCACAATTTTTGCCAATATATTTAATTCGAATGGGTTGCTGTAGGTGGATATTAGTGTTTTATCCTGGTTTTTGCTTTAAAACTTCGTTTTTCTATAATAAAATCAAATGGGGTACCAAGAAGGGCTCAGTTGACGACTGGCATCCTTTTTTAAAGCCCTTCAAAAAACAGCAAAATCGGCTCAATGATGATCTAGAACTATAATCGAAATACGCGATCGCCTTATAGCGCTATTAGCGCTTGTCGTTTCGAGGCGCTGGTTAGGCCTCACTAAGTGACGTCACCCACGGAGCATGCAGGCCTTGTTGTATCGGTGGTAACGTTCGAGCGCGCTATGATTGGCACGATCAACGATTAGAACGCTTGTAAACATTCACCGTGAGTCATTATGACGTCATAGATTACGTCACTCCTCGCGCTCAGTCACAGTTCGGAGGTGGAGCGGTCTAAGCGCTGCTGTCGACAATGAACTACATAAACACCTATCGATACTGTCACTTGAAACAGTAAACATGGGGAACCAGTCCTGATATAAGTACTGTTGTACAGAATATAGACAACTACGAGGTATTTAAATCAATTGATCTCTTTATGTATGAAATTGAACGAAGGCGTTATATTATACAACCGCTGCATCAGCTTTCTCATCATGAGTACTTGACGGAGAAATATTATTTCGATAACGGTATTGTCATCACTGTGTCGATAATGAGAGAAATATTCATCAAAGCTTTTCCACTTCTGCATGAACTATGATTTTTGTTGGCCAAGTAATAAATTTTCATGTGAGGTTATGTAACGGATTTCATGAGCGCGCTGAAAAAGTGAAAATTCGGTTCAAATCAATAGTTGTCAAAGCGTGCAAACACTAGCGCGCTCACTAGCTCGCTCAAATTCAATTCTTGAGCTGAAGCATCTAGAGATAGGACGGAAAACAGACTGGGCGCAACAATAAACAATCCACGCGGAAGCAATAAAGGAAATTTCTGGCCGAGAGCTTCGCTTCGGCCGAATCTGAAAATTAGGACTGTGTCAAGTCATTATTTGTCTGACCACAGTGGTATACCAGAATGGTCAAGACTGGACCTGGACTCCCATCGGAAGTTAACGTGGTAACTTAGTGGGCAGGTTTGAAACGTGACGATATTCCCAAACAGCTGATTGGTCAGACTTTGTACTGAACGTATGTGCGCGGTCAAACCACATACTTGGCACAGTCAAGAGTTGAATTACTGCCATGAACGTTAACGTAGAAATTGCCAGGTACGCATGCGCAATTCTCGTTTTTCTACGTCTCTCGACAATCGTTCAAATAGTACCTTGCTGCAGGGCTGCATCAAAGCTCAAGGTCATCAGAAGGTTATAAGGTATTTTGAGGAAGAAACATATTTTTTCTGCATAAAAAAGGATCCTACTTTTAAGCTTACTCGGCCTTGAACACTGCCTTGAAGCAGGGACCCGGACCGGAACCGCTATGAACCGAAAACCGTTACGGAACCCATATCATTTTGTGGACCGAAACCGAAACTGAACCCATATTCAAACTTTTATGATCAAGTGGTACCGAACCGAAACACCTAAAAATCAAAACGGGTTTTTTGATTGATTTCGGTTCTCTCTTTTGATTTATACAGGGTGTCCCAGAACAACGTACATTAAATTCAACAGGGTGAACTAGAGTTCAAAATAGGTCGATTGGGAACAACTTACCTCTGTACGAAAATACACCATTGGGCCGTGAGAGGGCGAATGGAATTTTTTTTTCAGATTTTATTGAATATTTTAAAATTCTTGAGAGGTTATGCTCTGAAATTTGTGAGACAGTCAACTATGAGAAGTGTGCATAGATAACAGGTCTCATTAGCATTCTGATTGGAGAAAA